TGTTAAATTCAGAGGATAAACTTGTTGATAATTATATATGTTAAATTCAGAGGATAAACTTGTTGATAATTATATATGTTAAATTCAGAGGATAAACTTGTTGATAATTATACATGTTAAATTCCAAGGATGACTTTCATGATTGGTGCTGTTTTCTTTACCCAGGAACTGCCATAATGTGCTGGGAGTGCAACTCCATATACGACCCGAACTGTAACGATCCATTCAACAACTACACAATGGCACAAGTAGACTGCAGCCAAAGATCCTTGCCACATTATCCCAACACTCCAGCCACACTGTGTAGAAAGGTCATTCAGAAAGGTCAGTCTTAAAGCTAGACTCTTTTACATGTTTCCAGCCACAAAAACATATTGATTAAAATTTTGTAAGTTGTATACTGTTAGAAAGTTGATAAACATTGCAATTCGTGATGGATAACAATTTAATCCAAACCATGTTGTTTTAGTTGTATTTTAACTAGAGATGTCATTTAGGGGAGGCCGCTCCCCTCGAAAGGGGCCCCAAATTCACAGCGTTAGGCCCACAGCTGAATTGGGGGGGGGGGCACGCCAAATCAGTCTTCTTTGCCCCCCAAGCATTTGTGAAATGAGGCTCCTGATTTTAACAAACGTCTGTAGCTAGAAAGTACGCATCACGTTTTTATACATTCGTGTATTTATTTACAAAATAAATGTACTTAACACACAGTGATTTTGAGTAGTTAATCAGTTCCATTGTTACTTCAATTTCTCGTGTTTACATCATTATTTAGCTACGGTTGTGTTATCTTCAAGTTCAACACACACCATTGGTATGTACACGAGTAAGTGTATATACCTTGTTATTCGTGTCTAATCTGTTGGTAGACTTTTAGTATTTTGGATTTAAATTTTTCGAACATACAGTCATTTCAAAGTATATAATATTAATACACATTTAGTCTGAAAAATCCATGACGGCAGACACAAGTTCGGGTATTTGAATTTAATGAAATTCGTAAATTTACATTGAAAAGGACAATACCGTAAAGCTTTATTTCTATGCACACATTATGTAAATATCAGTAATTTTAGCGATATGGTATGTTTAATAATACATTATAATGTTTAGGTTAGGTATTTAAAATTATGAAATTCTATACCTAGTTTTTGGAGAAATTTTTATAGCAAAAGGGGTAATTAATTCTGTCTACTTAAAATATGAAACTTAATTTATATTTATCAATAGTTTTATTGATACGAAAATAGATATAACTTATATATATAATATAACCAATGAATTTACTTCTGGTGATTTTTGTATCCATTATTTATATTTTTGTACTAGTGAACAAGGAGTATCGATACATACGTAGTTGTGGATGGCTGACAGACGAAAAACGCGAGTCAGAATGCATAAAACGATCGGGAACTTATCACGTACTCATCCAGTACTGTAACTGTAAAGTAGATGGCTGCAACGATGCTCCTCCCATCCAGTTCAGCTTTCTCACACAGGGTGTCGCTGTCGTCGCTTCCATAGTTTCTTCCAGAATGTTTTAACTGTTTTTACAGTTTTCGAACAATAACCATGAGTTCCATCATTTCAGGAAAGACCCGAAAGATCAAAAGATCTGACGAAACAGATTAGTAAACTGTGAAATTATTAATATATTATATGTTTTAATTATGTGTATTTTCTTGTGCGAATCATATTGTAATAAATTTTGAGAAGTTTACCTTACTCTAATAAAAAGAGCAGCTTGACTAAATATTATTTCATTTTGTCTTCCATATATTGTTATGGCCTCATTTAGATCTTTTTTTCAGAATGGTTTTTTAAAGAATTTTCACGCAAAGATACGTCAAATACACATAATTTTTGTTGTATATTAAATATAAAAATATGTATTATTACTCCTGTGAGCAATAATATGATCGGGAAATTAGTTACTACTAAAAGTATAGTTTTGTAAGAGGTGGAAGTATTATTAATAACTCCTGCTCAAAAGTAAGCTAACTGTAGAGATAAAACCGTAAAAGTGATTAAAATTAATGAAGTCAATTCCACACAACAAATGAACGAGAAACATACGATGTCATAAATTAGTACGAAAAAAAGCCATAATAATTACAATGCAATCACTTAGCTCCACAAACCAGTCTACCAACGACACTTTCAACCACGATAGCATATTACGACATTTCGACCAGCTTATGAAATCCTTGTCAGTCCCAAAGCTGTACTCTAATCAAATAATGCGAAATTATTCACAAAAAATTAGAAAAAAAAAGCATCAATAACACTAAATAAATAATATTTAATTATGAAATAAGCTGTTCTAAGCACTATAACAAGGAACACAGAGTGAAATCAACTTTAAATGTTTTTTTAGCCGCGGCATAGCGGCTCATAGAATGGCTTTGAGTTTGTTTGTTTTTTCAAGTTCAAACTTTCAGCTCATAGCTCCGTTATCTCTTGAGCGATTTGAGATCTAATTACAGTTTTGGACTCAGGAGGTCAAACCCTTTCGATTGATTATTTAATCACGCCCAAGATCTCATAGATTAATTTACTCTAATCCTGCCTAAAAGAATTTCAATTTGAGGGTAGGCTGGAAGAGATCCTGATGAGTAATACAATCGAATAGGGTATATGCGCACCCCACGTTTGGTCTTGCTGGCGCACAAAAATAGAGCTGATAAAAAGGAAGAAATGGTCTCATATATTAACTTACTTTAATCCTGCCTAAAAGAATTTCAAGTGCCGCGGCTATTGAGGATCCCCTCTTGTTTTTTAAGTGGAGCATGACATAACAATGATTAAAATGTATTGAAGATAATTAACTTCGACTACTATTACGATATCATTCAGTTTCATAGTGTATATTTCACAGTGAACGAAACAAACAGGCAGCACTGCTTATGTAGGGATGGCTCGGATTGCTCATCGGAATGGTATTTTAAATATCTCCTCAATAGGTTATCAGAACTTTACAATACTATACAGTGTTTCTTTTATAACAATATTTGGAATATAAGTTCTGGAAATTTCTGTAAATATCATAGAAAAAAGTTTGAATTTCTTGTTCTTCTTTCTTCTGTTTCTTTTTTTATTACGTGATAACTCAAAAACCAAAACAGTGGTCTCAACCAATTTTACTGAGGTGACATAGTTTCAAACGGAGTGTCCACTTTTATAAGTATTATTAATAACTAGTAGTAATTTTAAAAAATCGTAATTCTAGTGGAAACGATGTTATCATTATCCCTTGAAGTTAGCTTTCGTACAGAAATTGGGTGTTTCTTTAAAAAGCTTAAGTGTCGGGTGAAACAGGAATTACCATCCAATAATAGATAAACAATAAATATTATAGTTGGAACCTGATTGTATTTAGAACTTGGTTATAAATACAACCTTCCTATGTCTATTGAAACAATGTATTAAAAAAAACAAAAACAAGCAAACAAGTAAAGAAAAACTTTAAAAAAAAAGAAAGTAAATGTAGGGATGGCTAATATCAATCCTTCAAAGACAATGCAAACAAGATAGTAGGGATGACATTTGCATCATCCCTACGTAATAGCACAGGCAAGAATTAACATACAGCAATATATGTATAACTATTCAATCACAATTGAGTTTAATTTATCCTATTTTTGTCTGCTAACATTCTACTACACTGTGTGTGAATGCCATCCCTATTATGATGTTTGCATTATTTTTGAAGGATCGATATTAGCCATCCCTACATTTACTTCTTTTTTTTAAGTTTTTCTTTACTTCACTAATTATAGGATTTTATATAATAAAAAAACAATAATTCTTTACCCTAACTTTAGCCACGGTGAAAAGTCCTGCAAAACTAATGCTGTAAGAATGTCAGAATGAATAAATTAATGTATGTATCAAATCCTTTTAAAATATTATTGTAAGTTAATAGTCATATATCTAAATCATAATTTGACCAAAATATCTGTGTATGTCTACTCGTACCTAGCGAACCGATAGACCGATTGTCACCAGACCTGGCATGTACCCTTATGGCTTCCGGGTAATGTTGTAAGGTGGTTGGCGTTCGGATATAAACCCGCTGTCTTCAGATAATAAATATATATATATATATATGGTTAATATAGTATGAAAAAAAAACAGTTTTATTGACATTACTTTGACTAATGAAGTGTGCTTTCATGCGCAACATAATATGTTCTATTTATAGTTCAAAAACTTCATTTTCTTGTTAGATCTTTAAGGCTTTGTCGTAAATTTATAAAATGTATGTGGTAGGGTTGTTTAATCCATAAAACAATAGTCGAATAATGTGATAGGGTTAACCAAGAATAAACTAACCGTGTTGGTTAGTTAACACCGTTATACTTGGGAATCGTGAAAAATAGGCTATGTTTATGTAAGCTATGTTACGCTTTTGAAACATTGTTTTAAGTGTTTTGTAAGTCCTTTTTGCCTCCAAAACAGTTTTAATTATTTTGTTATACATATTGTTCTTATTCATTGTATCTAGAAGATGAAATACCTAAGAATATATATACAGTAATAAGTATATAAAACTAAGCATAAAAATAAAGATAAATAAATACATTAAATCTAAAAATCAAACATTTCTGTAAATACAACTACCATCGAAAACTCTACCTTGCTCCAAATCTATGTGCAATATAATTATATAACAACATAGACTATTTACGTGGCCCGGCATGGCCAGGTGGTTAGGGCATTCGACTCGCAATCTGAGGGTCGCGGGTTCGAATTCCCGTCACACCAAACATGCTCGCCCTTTCAGCCGTGGGAGCGTTATAATGGTACAGTCAATCCCACTATTCGTTGGTAAAAGAGTGGCCCAAGAGTTGGCGGTGGGTGTTGATGACTAGCTGCCTTCTCTCTAGTCTTACACAGCTAAATTAGGGACGACCTGCGCAGATAGCCCTCGTGTATCTTTGGGCGATAATGAGATAATTTTATTTTCTACGGCGTTTTGATCGTTATTGCGATCATTCTTAGATACTCAGGTTTTAAAAGATAATGAAGGTTTTTGAATTTAACCGTTTAAACCTTAATACTTGAAAATGATCTCACTAGCAATCGAAACATCGTACTCTATTTTAAAAACATTCTTCCTCGTTGTAGAAAGCTGTAACTTGTAAAAATATACTTTTAATCAGTAACTAAGCTCAAACGAAATTAAGTGTATGCCTTAGATTTTTAGTCTCGCCGCTTTAAATACATAGTTCATTGTGATCAGAAGTTGTTATTATTTACGTACAAAACATACAAACATTAGTTGTTACCTTCAAGTACTCTCTCAAATATATATATATATATAATATCCTCAATTACCACAATAACTAACAAGCGACATATTAGTACGCTTAACATAGTGTGCCTAACCTCTTTTCGTGCTTTGGGAAAGTTCAAGCTTATGAAGAAGGAAAAGTAAAAATATAGCCAACCAAAAAGCAAATAAAGAAGCATTCTTACTGCAGAGAAATAGACCATATAAGTGAACTTTTTCCATGAAAATTAAACGATAAACGTATGAGTGAAAGCACGGGTAAGACGTTTATAATAAATGTCGTTATAATTCTGGATATTGTTTCCTTTAAGTTTATTAATCTAGCACCAAACATTTGCTATAGAGTAGAAGAACAAAAATAATTTCTGGACATTTTGGACATCACATTGTTTCATTTCATAAGTTTATTGGCTATATTTCATCTGAAATTTAAACATTAATTACTAACTACACATAACTTAAGACATTTTTACTCGAAACTTAAACTGATCGGTAATAGAATTAGTAAAGTTTTTAGGACAAATACTTATTTGGAACTGCAGCGTTTAATATTATAATCTATTTAACGTTATATTTCTTTTTACATTTTTATTTTATAATAATTTTTTGTGTGAAGCGCTTTGTCATCTACCTCTTTCTTCTTCCTCAAGGAACTAAGTTACACAGGAAGTTGCCTGTTAGTTACCGGTGCTTTGTTTGTTTGTTTGTTTTGAATTTCGCGCAAAGCTACACGAGGGCTATCTGCGCTAGCCGTCCCTAATTTAGCAGTGTAAGACTAGAGGGAAGGCAGCTAGTCATCACCACCCACCGCCAACTCTCGGGCTACTCTTTTACCAACACTGGCCATGCCGGTCCCCGGTGCTTCGTTCAGTGACAAACAGGAAAGTAGGAAACTGGCATGAATCTCCACTGTAGTTTGTTTTTCCTACAAAAATGATATTTTGGTTTAAAGTAATCAATTTGTTTTTAGATTCAAATTGTAACTGTGGCCAAATTATCAGTCTCGAGATTAATTAATCATTAAAATTAATTAAACTATTTTGTGTGTTTTTTTTTTTTTTACAAACAACGTGTTTGTTTCGAATCAGCCTTTTTCTCCTAAGTAAATGAGTCACTAGAATCCAACTTTTTTTTCAAACAAATTATTGTAACTTTACTCACGAAAAACTGAGATATGATCCTCATCTTGGTTTATGCGGTATTTAAAATTTTGTTTTCGAAGCGCACACCATATTATTCTTATTCGAAATTCACACAAAGCCTAGTTCTATGTTTCTCAACCAGGATGTGCCATAGACTTCCTTTAGTGATACCGCGAAATTTTAGCAAAATATTGTTATCTCTGTAACTCCCCCCCCCCCCTATGCCACTGTTAACTAGGCTGTTAAAGGTTAAAGGGGTGGCGGAAATTGCAGCCTATGTGTATGAGTATCTTATCATTATAACTTCGGTATATAGTGTT